AAAAAAAAAAAGAGGAAAAGAGACCGGATGTGGTGGCTTACATCTGTAATCCCAGCACTTTGGGAGGCTAAGGAGGGAGGATCGCTTGAGGCCAGGAGTTCAAGACTAGCCTGGGCAACATAGCAAGACCCTTTCTCCAAAAAAATTTACAAATTAGCTGGGCATAGTACGTGCCTGTAGTCTCAGCTACTCAGGAGGCTGAGGCCAGAGGATCACTTGAACCTGAGAGGTGGAGGTTGCAGTGAGTTGAGACTGTAGCACTGCATGCCAGCCTGGGCAACAGAATGAGACCTCATCTCAAAACAAACAAAAAAACACCAAGAGGCATAGGTCTGTGCTTCTCACAAAGTCCTGCCCCTCTGCCCTCCCCAGTCCATCTCCTTCACCCCATGACCTGCCTGCAGCTGACGGCCAGGATAGTGTACCTAGATCCCAGCTTTCCCCAACTCAATTTCTACTTCCAAGTCTCTCTGTCACCCCTTGCCCAGAGGGACTCTAAAGCTTGGGGTTCCAATTGCTCCTTGCTCCCACATCCAGACTTTCCAAGGCTTGCCTTGGAAAAGCCCAGGAATAAGATCCCTACACATGCCTGGCCGACTCCTGCACTCAGGCAATCAAATTCCACATTCAGGGCCTGGAACGGTGGCTCACGCCTGTAATCCCAGCACTTGGGAGGCCCAGGCAGGTGGATTGTTTGAGGTCAGGAGTTCAAGACTAGCCTGGTCAACATGGTGAAACCTGTCTCTACTAAAAACACGAAACTTAGTCGGGAGCCTATAATCCCAGCCACTTGGGAGGCTAAGGCAGGAGACTCTCTTGAACCCGGGAGGTGGAGGTTGCAGTGAGTAGAGATTGCACCAATGCACTCCAGCCTGGGCAACGAGAACAGAAACTCCATCTCAACAAATAAACAAATAAATACGGCTGGGTGAGGTGGCTCATGCCTGTAATCCCAGCACCACTGAGGCGGGTGGATCACCTGAGGTTGGGAGTTTGAGACCAACATGGAGAAATCCCATCTCTACTAAAAATACAAAAATAGCTGGGTGTGGTGGCATATGCCTGTAATCCAGCTACTCAGGAGACTGAGGCAGGAAAATCGCCTGAACCTGGGAGGCAAAGGCTGTGTAAGCCAAGATTGCACCATTGCACTCCAGCCTGGGAAGCAGGCACGAAACTCCATTTCGGAAAAAATAAGTCAATAAATAAATACAGAGGGACGGGTGCGGTGGCTCATGCCCGTAATCCCAGCACTTTGGGAGGCCAAGGCAGGCAGATCACTAGGTCAAGAGATCGAGACCATCCTGGCCAACATGGTGAAACCCTTACTCAACTAAAAATACAAAAATTAGCTGGGCATGGTGGCGTGCGCCTGTATTCCCAGCTACTCAGGAGGCTGAGGCAGGAGAATCACTTGAACCCAGGAGGCGGAGGTTGCAGTGAGCCAGTGTTGCGCCACTGTATTCCAGCCTGGTGACAGAGCAAGACTCTGTCTCAGAAAAATAGATACACATAAACATACATACATAAAAATAAAAAATAAAATAAATTCCACATTCACTTCCCCTGGAAAGAGGCCTCTGCTGCCTTCTGCCCCAGGGTCTTTGTATGACACTGTTCCGTCTGCTGAGAAGGTGTTGCAAAGTCAAGTGGAGTTTTTCTAAAGGAAATCACCTCCCCGGGAAACACTCTGATGTACAGGCTAGGCAGGCCACCACCTCCGGGCTTCCCCATACCCTGGATTTCACTGACACAGTCTTAACCCTTCAGAATGATGGGAAAAATATGTTTTTCGGACAGGCACGGTGGCTCACGCCTGTAATCCTAGCACTGTGGGAGGCTGAGGCGGGAGGATCACAAGGTCAGGAGTGTGAGACCAGCCTGGTCAACATGGTGAAACCCCATCTCTACTAATACAAAAATTAGCCAGGCAAGGTGGCAGCGGCCTGTAATCCCAGCTACTCGGGAGGCTGAGACAGGAGAATCTCTTCAACCTAGGAGGTCGAGGTTGCAGTGAGCTGAGATCGCACCACTGCACTCCAGCCTGGGAGACAGAGCGAGATTCTGGCTCAAAAAAAAAAAGTAGAGGCATGACAATATGTGAAGTTTACCCTGGATCCCAGATGCTTGGGGCACTTCCTCCTGCCTACACAGCATCCCCACCCCATTCCCAGACACCTGGTCTTCTTGGCCACCTCCTCCAGGGGGACGCCGTGGTGGAGAGCGAGGTGACAGAGGTGCAGAAAGGCCATGCCCAGGCTCTCATTCTTAAAGTGGTGGATCTCCTCCTCACTCGACAGCTCCCACAGTGATGCCACGTCATTCACAAACTCATACTTGCCCTGGGAATGGGAAATTGAGCAGAAAGGGAGGTTTGAGAATTCGTTCACGCTCTAGCCCAGAAGTATCCGATCTTTGGGCATCCCTGGACCATACTGAAAGAATTCTCTTGGGCCACACATAAAATACACCAACACTAATGACAGCTGATGAGCTTTAAAAAAAAAAAAAAAAAAATCGCAGGCCAGGCATGTTGGCTCACATGTGTAATCCCAGAACTTTGGGAGGCTGCGGCAGGTGTATCACCTGAGGTCAGGAGTTTGAGACCAGCCTGACCAACATGGAGAAACCCCGCCTCTACTAAAAATACAAAATTAGCCGGGCATGGTGGCACATGCCTTTAATCCCAGCTACTCAGGAGGCTGAGGCAGGAGAATCACTTGAACCCAAGAGGCAGAGGTTGCAGTGAGCTGAGATCGTGACACTGCACTCCAGCCTGGGCAACAAGACCAAAACTCAGTCTCAAAAAAAATTTTTTCAGCAAAATCTCATAATATTTTAAGATAGTTTAGGAATTTGTATTGGGCCACATTCAAAGCCATCCTGGGCAGCATGCACCATGCAGGCAATGAGATGGACAAGCTTGCTCTAGCCAGGGAACCCTAATTTCCTGCATCTCATTACCTTGAGGAGAGACTAGCATTTCCTAGAAAGGCCAAATACACAGCATACAACCCTCCTCTTCTCAATCTTGTGCCTCTGGCAGACATCACTAATCAATCACAGCACTTTTTCCCCTTCAACCTGAGCCAGGGATGGTGGCTCATGCCTGTAATCCCAGCACTTTGGGAGACCGAGGCAGGTGGATCACCTGAGGTCAGGAGTTAGAGACCAGCGTGGCCAAAACGGTGAAACGCTGTCTCTACTAAAAATACAAAAATTAGCCGGGTGTGGTGGCAGGCACCTGTAATCCCAGCAACTCAGGTGAGGAGGCTGAGGTGGGCGAATCACTTCAACCTGGGAGTTGAAGGTTGCAGTGAACTGAAATCACACCGCTGCACTCCAGCCTGAGGGACAGAGCAAAACTCCATTTCAAAAATAAACATAAGTAAAAATAAAACATAAAAAAAAACTCCATTTCAAAAAAAAAAAAAAAAAAATCCCCAGATGGCATGAGTTGAAACCTATTAACTATACTGAACCAGGGAAAGAAGTGGGGGCTCCTCAACTGCCCCTAAGTCTCCCACAAATGGTCCTTCCCCAAGCCCTGCTCATACCTGCTCAAAGAGGTATTCAAATGAGGCTGGGTCCAGGAGTTGCATCCCCTGTGCTGTCTGATCTGAGGATGCCTCAGCTCCTGGGGGCCCACAGCGGTACACAGCTGGCTCCTGAGGATTCATGCCATGCCAATTCCGGAAATAAAACCTGCAGAAAGGGAGGGACACAGCTGGGGCTTAGCACAGAGTCAGACCAGCTCCACCACAGGAGGGGATGAGCTTTGCAAAGGGGTCTCCACCCACCTCATGCGGAAATACAGCATCAGACCTGCGTCTCTGGGGATCTCTAGGATGTGGTTTGGGGGCAACCAGACTTGGGCCTGGGCATCAAAGAGGGCAAAGAGATTGAAACAGGGAGGAGTGATACCTGGAACAGGGAAGAAACAAGGTCAGGAGTCATGTCATGTGCTACCGTCAGCCCGAAGATCCCCCAGACCCAATGTCTGCCTTCACACTCCCTCTGAGGCCCCCTCCCCCGCCTACAACTTCAGTCTCATGTTGCCCCTGGGGAGAGGACAGTGCATATGCTGACCATGCTGTGGCTCACAGGAGGACTACATTTCCCAGCCTCCCTTGCAGCTAGGGTGGGGCCATTGCACTGGTTTCTGGTCAAAGGGATGGGCACATTTCCAAGCCTGGAAATAAATCCTCTTGCCACCTTCACCACCTGAGGTATGCTGAAGGCTTCTTGTGACAGGTGGTGAAACTATAAGATAGAGGTGAACCATCCAACCTGCACTTAATTTTAGGTAAACCTTTATTTTTTCTTGATGCAGTCTCGTTCTGTCGCCCAGGCTAGAGTGCAGTGGTGCGATATTGGCTCACTGCAACCTGTGCCTCCTGGGTTCAAGCGATTCTCTTGCCTCAGCTTCCTGAGTAGCTGGGATTACTAAGTGTGTGCCACCATGCCCAGCTACTTTTTTGTATTTTTAGTAGAGACAGAATTTCACCATGTTGGTCAGGCTGGTCTCAAACTCCTGACCTCGTGATCTGCCTGCCTTGGCCTCCCAAAGTGCTGGGATTACAGGTGTGAGTCACGGCACCCGGCCACCTTTTTTTTTTTTTTGAGATCGAGTCTTGCTCTGTTGCCCAGACTGGAGTGCAGTGGCTTGATCTTGGCTCACTACCTTCTGGGTTCAAGTGATTCTCCTGTCTCAGCCTCCCAAGCAGCTGGAATTACAGGTGCTTGCCACCACTGGCTGATTTTCGTATTTTTAGAAGAGATGAGGTTTTGCCATGTTGGCCAGGCGGGTCATAAACGCCTGACCTCAGGTGATCTGCCCGCCTTAGCCTCCCAAAGTGCTGGAATTACAGGCATGAGCCACCGTGCTTGGCCGATTTTAGGTAAACCTTGATTGTCTTAAGATTTGGGGGGTTTATTTCTGCATCAAAACTTTTCTTAGCTGGACCAACATAACACTACAAACTGCTGGAATTACCTGGCATCTCCCTGAACTCCGGCCCTAAAGAAACATCGAATCACAGAAAATATAAAAATTAGCCAGGTGTGGTGACCTGTGCTTGTAGTCTCAGCTATTCGGGAGGCTGAGGCAGGAGAATCACTTGAGCCTAGCAGGTAGAGGCTGCAGTGCACCATGACAGCACCACTGCACTTCAGCCTGGGCAACAGAGAGAGACTTTGTATCTGCAAAAGAAAAAAGAAAATGAAAAAAAGACTCAGCTATGGATGGGGAAGTAGGAGGTGGTATAGAAATTTACTGCAGTGCCCCCATCCAGTCATGGAAAGCTGGGAATGGGGGAGGTAAAAGGAGTTTCTGGAGGAAGGTATGTGTCACCAAAGTCACCTTAGAAATGCCTTCCCTTGGCTGGGCATGGTGGCTCATGCCTGTAATCCCAGCACTTTGGGAGGCTGAGGCAGGTGGATCAGTTGAGTTCAGGAGTTCAAGACCCGTCTGGCCAACATGGCAAAACTCCATCTCTACTAAAAATACAAAAACTAAGGGCTGGGCACAGTGGCTCATGCCTGTAATACCAGCACTTTGAGAGCCTGAGGCAGGAGGATCATGAAGTCAAGAGATCAAGACCATTCTGGCCAACATGGTGAAACCCCATCTCTACTAAAAATACAAAAATTAGCTGGGCATGGTGGTGCCTGCCTATAGTCCCAGCTACTCAGGAGGCTGAGGCAGGAGAATCACTTGAACCCGGGAGGCGAAGGTTGCAGTAAGCTGAGATCACGCCAATGCACTCCAGCCTCTAGCCTGGAGACAGAGCAAGACTCCATCTCAAAAAAAACAAAACAAAACTACCTGGCATGGTGGTGTGCGCCTGTAATCCCAGCTACTCAGGTGGCCAAGGCAGGAGAATCGCTGGAACCTTGGACATGGACATTGCAGAGAGCTGAGATTACACTACTGCACTCCAGCCTGGATGACAGAGCAAGACTCCGTCAAGAAAGAAAGAAAAGAAAAGAAGAAAAGAAAGAAAGGGGAAGAGAAGGGAAAGGGAAAGGAAAAGGGAAGAAAGGAAGGAGGGAGGGAGGGAGAGAGGAAGGAAGGAAGGGAGGAAAGAAGGAAGGAAGGAAGGGAGGAAGGGAGGGAGGTAGGGAGGGAGGGAGGGAGGGAGGAAAGGTCTTCTCCAGCAGAGGAAATTGCACTTCCAAATACATCGACGGCAGACTACAGACTTTTTTTTAATGACACAGGGTCTCACTCTGTCCCCAAGGCTGGGATGCAGTGATGCAACCATAGCTCATTGCAGGCTTGAACTCCAGGCCTCAAGCGATCCTCTTGCCTCAGCCTCTCAAGTAGCTGGGACTACAGACATGCACCACCACGCCTGGCTAATTTCTAAAATTATTTTGTTGAGATAGGGTCTCCCTATGTTGCCCAGGCTGGTCTCCAACTACTGGTCTCAAGCAATCCTCCTGCCTGGGCCTCCTCAAGTGCTGGGATTACAGGTGTCAGCTACTGCACCTGGACAAGTTTTCTGATTTATTATATTTCTTGCTATCTTCCTAAAATTTCAGCTCTACAAAGGCAGTGATTTGCAGCTGCCACACAGTAGATGCTCACAAAACGTTCGCTGTATGAATGGGTGCATGGATGGATGGATGAATGAGTGGATGGGTGGATGGATAAATGGGTGCGTGGGTGGAGGAGTGGGTGGGTGCACGGGTAAATGGGTTGATGGGCGCATAGGTAGATGAATGGATAGATGGATGGATGGGTGGGTGGATGGGTGAGTGGGTAGATGGATGGATGGTTGTGGGGTGGGTGGATGTATGAATGAATGGGTAGATGTGTGAATGGGTGGGTGGGTGGATGGATGGATGGGTACATGGGTGGATGGATAGATAGGTGCTTGGGTGGAGGAGTGGGTGGGTACGTGGGTGGATGGATGGATGGGTGCTTGGGTGGAGAAGTGGGTGAGTACGTGAGTGGATGGATGGATGGGTGCTTGGATGGAGGGGGTGAGTATGTGGGTGGATGGATGGATGGGTGCTTGGGTGGAGGAGTGGGTGGGTATGTGGGTGGATGGATGGATGGGTGCTTGGGTGGAGAAGTGGGTGAGTACGTGAGTGGATGGATGGATGGGTGCTTGGATGGAGTGGGTGAGTATGTGGGTGGATGGATGGATGGGTGCTTGGGTGGAGGAGTGGGTGGGTATGTGGGTGGATGGATGGATGGGTGCTTGGGTGGAGGAGTGGGTGGGTACGTGGGTGGATGGATGGATGGGTGCTTGGATGGAGTGGGTGAGTATGTGGGTGGATGGATGGATGGGTGCTTGGTGGAGGAGTGGGTGGGTACATGGGTGGATGGATGGGTACTTGGTGGAGGAGTGGGTGGGTATGTGGGTGGATGGATGGATGGGTGGGGTGGGTGGAGGAGTAGGTGGGTATGGAGGTGGATGGATGGATGGATGGATGGGTGGCTGGGTGGCTGGGTATGTGGATGGGTGGGTGGGTGGGGGGATGGATGGATGGGTGGATGGGTGGGTAGGTGGGGGGATGGATGGATGGGTGGATGGATAGATGGGTGGGTGGCTGGGTATGTGGGTGCGTGGATGGACGGATGGGTGGGTGGGTGGATGGTTACATGGGTGGATGGATGGATGGATGGATGGGGGGATAGATGGGTGGGTGGGTGGATGGGTGAGGGGGTGGATGGATGGTTGGATAGATGGACGGATGGATAGATGGATGGATGGATAGGGCCCAGCTGCTGCCTGGACGCCCATGCGTCCTCATGGTGCCAGTGCCCCAGACTCACCGAGTTTATGTGCGATGTGAATGCAGACTTCCTCAGCTGTCAGCGATGACTCGCTGAAGGTGACCCAGGGCTCCCCGCCGCCTCGACCAGCCCAGTGCAGAAGCACCTTCAGGCCTCCCATGGTAGCCATGGGCTGGGCTCCATCCCCAACAGGCTTGCTGCCCCTGGCCGTTCCCCGATGGTGCAGAGGCATGTTCCCGGCAGGTGGCTTGGCTAGAAAGGGGACATCTATCAGCTCTCAACTCTCAGCCCAGAGGCCCCTCACCATTAGCACCTCAACCTTCCACCCACCCCAGCTGAGGCCTGAGGGGAAGATCCTGGGCTCCCATCTTGGTGTGACATTAAGGACCCGATTCCCTCTCTGAGCCTCGGTTTCCCCATTTGTTGGACGGGATTGGGGTATGCATCCCCACCTAGTAGATCTCTCATCAACAATAACACTGACCCCTCCCCTCTTTCCACAAATTGACACTGATATAAAAATCTGCTCTAGCCAGGTTCAGTGGCTCCCGCCTGTAATCCCAGGACTTTGGGAAGTTGAGTCAGAAGGATCATTTGAGCCCAGGGGCTGGAGACCAGCCTAGGCCATATAGCAAGACCCTGTTTCTACAAGAAGTTTTGTTTGTTTTTTTGAGACGGAGTTTTGCTCTTGTTGCCCAGGCTGGAGTGCAATGGGGCAATCTCGGCTCGAAACTTCCACCTCCCAGGTCCAAGCAACTCTCCTGCCTCAGCCTCCCAAGTAGCTGGGATTACAGGCATTCACCACCATGCCCAGCTAATTTTTGCATTTTTAATAGAGATGGGGTTTTGCCATGTTGGCCAGGCTGGTCTTCAATCTCTGACCTCAAGTGATCCGCCCACCTTGGCCTCCCAAAGTCCTGGGATTCCAAGCGTGAACCACGATGCCCAGCCTCTACAAGAAATTTTTAAAACTTAGCCAGGTGTGGTGGCACACACTTGTATTCAAGCTACTCAGGGGGCCAAGGTGGTAGGGTCTCCTGAGACTAGGAGTTGGAGGCTGCAGTGAATAGTGATCACACCACTACATTCCAGCCTGGGTGACAAAGTAAGACCCTATCTCTAAAAATATAAATACATAAATAAATAATAAAAATGAATAAAAAGTAAAATAAAAATCTACTCTTTTTTTTTCTGAGACGGAGTTTCACTCTTGTTACCCAGGCTGGAGGGCAATGGCACGATCTCGGCTCACCGCAACCTCTGCCTCCTGGGTTCAGGCAATTCTCCTGCCTCAACCTCCTGAGTAGCTGGGATTACAGGCACATGCCACCATGCCCAGCTAACGTTTTGTATTTTTAGTAGAGACGGGGTTTCACCATGTTGACCAGGATGGTCTCGATCTCTTGACCTCGTGATCCACCTGCCTCGGCCTCCCAAAGTGCTGAGATTACAGGCGAGAGCCACAGCGCCCGGCCATAAAAATCTACTCTTAACACACTTCCCCAAAACAACCAGACAGGCAGCTGTGGTCAAACAGACCTGAGGGCGAGTCCTGGAGCTCCCTGTGTCAACTCAAGCAAACCACTTAGCGATTCTGGGCCTCAGTTTCCCCATCTGGAAAAGGGAGGTCCTCAGGGTTCTGCCATCAAAAGACGGTTGTGATGTTTCAATGTGGTTCCACATACTCCACATTCAGCGCAGACCTTGGTACAGGCACACACAAAAATAACAAATGTGACTAAAACAACAATAACATCGTCACTCGTTTCATCGTGGTGATGGCCTTTCTCTTTCAGGCCACAATTCTCGTCCCCCACATGTACCCCCATGAGTGACCCCAGTTCCTGTTGACTCCCTCAAGCCTAGGAGAATTTATGTCCAGCTCCATCCCCGCAGTCCAGCGCCTGAGCCTCCTGAGGGCGCCAGTGTAGAAGTGGAGGGCCTGTCAGTTCTACCCATGTTGCTGACTGCACCCTCCTCTGGAAAATGGGCGTGTAACAGTCTCTACCTCAAAGGGTTGCCGGGAGGATTCAACGCGAGGAGGCAGAGAAAGTGTCTGGTATACGGTAAGCGCCTAACTAACTTTTGCCATTAATACCTAGTCATGTTTCAGGTGAGATCCTGGGGATGGGGCTTTTCGGGAGCCTACTTCCTCCTTGCTCATCTCCACTAGACCCGGACCCAGCTTTGAAAACGGGGTCGGGGTGAGGTTTGCAACTGGGAAGGCTGCATCCCTCACATCCTCCCGCCAAAACCTCTAAACCCGGCCAGCAGGGGCAGGAACTGGGATGTGCACCCACCGGGCATTGGAGCAGTCCCGAGGCACCAGTTGCTCCCATCCAAGTTCAGTCTGTCAAGCGCTGCCAGTCTCCTCGTCTCCTTCCTGCGGACCTCAGGCCGCGCCCCTTCCGCGCTCGCGTCGGCACTAACACTTCCGGTGGCACCCAGGCACGAACCCGGACTCCGCCCCGCCCCCGCGGGCAACCTCTACTTGTTGCCCACCGAGACGCCTCCTCCCATTGGCCGCCTGAAACGCGCACGCCCATTGGCAGCTGCCCTGTTCCCCCCGCAGTCACCATTGGAAGTTTTTTTTGGTTTTTTTTGGTTTTTTTTTTTTTTTTGGGCCATGGCGGCGGCGCTCTGATTGGTTCTCGGTCTCACTCGTCGCTCAGCCACGATTGGCTGTTTCGGCACCCGGATGCGCTTTCGCTTCTGCTATTGGCTGTTACGCGGTGAACGGAGACGTGGGAGGGGCCTGCGAGGGACGGGCTGGAGAGCGAAATGTGTGGGCAACACGGCGGGATCCTGGAGTTCCCCCTGTGGAATTGGGTCAGACGTGTACGGTTCTGACCGCAGGGCACAGGTACATGTCCTCACCTCGGCGTTCAAGGCTGCAGCGGCCACCATTCAACCCTCCGACGCCCTGCCCTGTGGCTTCCCCGTTCCATCCCGTCCCATTTCCCTTCCGTCGTTTCTACCTGGCAGACTCCACCTTGCTGACTGGAATTCCCCCTCCTTCACTCCTGAGAGGCTTTCCTGGCCCACCTGCTCCTGTCCTCTTCCTGATCACCTGCAGCCCTGCCCTCTAAAGCTCCCTAGCGGTCAGGGTAGCAGCTTGGACAACCCACCCGATGTGAGTACAAATCCCCGCTGTATCTCAAAAAAAAAAAAGAAAAGAAAGAAAATGCTGATAGAGAATGCTGATAGAGACTTGGCCTCGCTGGGCGCAGTGACTCATCCCTATAATCCTAGCACTTTAGGAAGCTGAGGCAGGAGGATAGTCTGAGTCCAGTTGGAGACCAACCTGGGCAATATAGCAAGACCTTGTCTCTACACAAAATAGAAAAGTTAATCTGAGGCTGAGGCACAAGAATCACTTGAGCCCGGGAGGTGGAGGTTGCAGTGAGCCGAGATCGTGCCACTGCACTCCAGCTTAGGCTACAGAGTGAGACTCCGTCTCAAAAAAAAAAAAAAGTTTGGCATGGTGGCATGTGCCTGTAGTCCCAGCTACTCCAGAGGCTGAGGTGGGAGGATTGCTTGAGCCCGGGCAACTTGACCTCCTGGGCTCTGCTGTATTTTCTTCAGAGTCCTTATTGCAGCCTGAAGTTTCATGGAAAGTTTCTTTCTTTTCTTTTCTTTCTTTTTTTTTTTTTTTTTTTTTGAGACAGAGTCTCGCTCTGTTGTTCAGGCTAGAGTGCAGTGCAGCAGTCTTGGTTCACTGCAAACTCCACCTCTGCCAAGTTCAAGCAATTCTCCTGCCTCAACATCCCTGGTAATGGGGATTGCAGGCATCCAACACGCCTGGCTAATTTTTGTATTTTTAGTAGAGATGGGGTTTCACCATGTTGGCCAGACTAGTCTGGAACTCTGGACCTCAGGTGATTCACCTGCCTCCCAAAGTGCTGGGATTACAGATGTGAGCAACCGCTCCCAGCCGGGAGGTTTCTCTTTCTCTTTTCTTTTCGTTTCTTTCACTTATTTATTTATTTAGAGATGGAGCTTTGCTCTTGTTGCCCAGGCTGGAGTGCAGTGGTACGATCTGGGCTCATGCAACCTCCGCCTCCCGGGTTCAAGCAATTCTCCTGCCTCAGCCTCCTGAGTAGCTGGGACTACAGGTGCCCACCACCATGGCTGGCTAATTTTGTATTTTTTTAGTAGAGACAGGGTTTCTCCATATCGGTCAGGCTGGTCTTGAACTGCTGACCTCAGGTGATCCCCTCCTGCCTCGGCCTCCCAAAGTGGTGGGATTACAGGTGTGAACCACCGCATCCAGGCCTTTTCTCTTCTTTTTTTGAGACAGAGTCTCACTCTGTTGCCCAGGCTGGAGTGCAGTGCTATGATCTCAATTCACTGCAGTCTCGACCTCCCAGGTTTAGCATTCACAGTCCTCCCACGTCAGCCTCCCAAGTGGCTGGGACTACAGGTGTGCATTATCATGCCTGGCTAATTTGCGGGTGTGTGTGTATTTTTTATAGAAATGGGCTTCCACCATGTTACCCAGGCTGGTTTCAAACTGCTGGACTCAAGTGACCCTCCCTCCTTGACCTCCCAAACTGCTGACCTCCCAAACGCCCAGAGGCGTGAGCCACCGCGCATGGCCTCGGGAAGTTTCTTTGAGCACCAGTTCTATTGCCTGTCTGTGGTTCTAGGACATCAGCCCCACCAGAAAGGTCTGTTTGGTTGTCCGCTGTGCCCTCAGCACCTGGGGTTGTGCCTCGAGCCCAGTAGATGGCTTAAGAAGCCAGCGCTGGCAGGAGTGAATGTCCTGGGAGTCAGGAATCCCTGGCTATTGTATAGCCTGCTGCTGGAGGGCTGGCCGTGAGCTTCCTCTCTGTTGCCGCCTGGGTACAGCATCAGGAAGCCGAGAGTGCCGGATTATTCAACAGCCGTCCGGGGCAAGGCTCTGCAATTAGACGCTAGACCACGGCGAGCCGGGTGGGCCTGGGTCCTGGTATTCCCCACTCCTGAAGGAACTAGCAGGAAATGCCACATGGGCCAACTACTAATAATGCTAGTCACACTCCCAGTAATAATAATACATTCTAACAATAAGCTGGGTGTGGTGGCTGGCGCCTGTAATCCCAGCACTTTGAGAGACAGAGGCAGCAGGATTGCTTGAGCCCAGGAGTTCCAGACCAGCCTGGGCAACATAGTGAAACCCCGTGTCTACAGAAAATTCAAAAATTAGCAGGGCATGGTGATACAGGCCTGTAGTCCCAGCTACTGGGGAGGCTGGGGTGAGAGGATCACTTGGGTCCAGAGGTTGAGGTTGCAATGAGCTATGATTGCGTCACTGTACTCCAACCTGGGCAACTGAGCAAGACCCTGTCAAATAAATAAATAAATAAATAAATGGAATAGCTGACATTTTCCCAGCCTGGACATTGGGCCTAGGGTGGGTATTTAGCAATCCCTGGGCCTTCTCAGATTCTTTGTGAGTGGTATCAGCACCCCTACTTGACAACCAAAGATAAGAGGCTAAGGAGGCTATTCTGCCAAGGCCTGGGGCCTCCTTCCCAAACTCCCACATCCCAGACCTGGCCCATAAGGGAGGCCCCAGACCTCACACGTGACTAAAAGGCTGGGGTTTCCGAGGACTCAGGGGGTTCCCCAATGGGGGGCTTTCCATGCTAGCACTGGGGCAGTCCTCGGCAAGCCAGGATAGTTGGCCACACCACTACGGTAGGTTTTCAGGAAGGAACAAAAGCTGGGAGCTTCCTTTGGTCCTTCAGGGACTGCAGGGAGGGGCCTCCTCAGAGCCCCCACAGGACCTGGGAAAAGCCAATAATTTATTAAATAAAAGTAAAATCCCTTTGTGTTTTGATGAATGGGAGAGTTCAGGGAACAGCCAGTCTCCTCCTCAATGGGATGGGTTTCCTGCGAATCTTTTTTTTTTTTTTTTTTGAGATGAAGTTTCACTCTTGGTGCCCAGGCCTGAATGCAATGGCATGATCTCAGCTCACTGCAACCTCCACCTCCTGGGTTCAAAGGATTCTCCTGCCTCAGCCTCTCAAGTAGCTGGGATTACAGGCGCCCACCATCACGCCCAGCTAATTTTTGTGTTTTTAGTAGAGATGGGGTTTTGCCATCTTGGCCAGGCCAGTTTTAAACTCCTGACCTCAGGTGATCCGCCCGCCTTGGCCTCCCAGAGTGCTGGGATTACAGGCCTGAGCCACTGTGCCTGGCCTCCAGGGAATCTTTCCACAAAAATTCTATGCTCCTTATAGGCACGTGTGCGAACCTGTGTTCTCTAGAAAATTCACAGGAGCAGCCCCAAACGGGACACTCAGTGTTGGCCTGAAAGGATACAGAGAAGTAACTTTCACACATGAAGGCTGGCACCAGATGGGCTGAGTTCAAGTCCCAGCTCCATCACCGTGTGCTCCTGGGTTGTCCCTTAACTGTGCCTCAGTTTCCTCCTTTGCAAGATGTGGTTATTTAGAGTCCCAAACCCAGAGGTATATCAGGGGCATCAAATGAGTTAATACACTTCATAAGCTGGGTGTGGTGGTGCATGCTTGAATGTGATGCTGAGGCAGGAGAATCGCTTGAACCTGGGAGGTTGAGGTTGCAGTGAGCCAAGATAGTGCCACTGCACTTCAGCCTGGGCAACAGAGCAGGTCTCCATCTCAAAAAAA